AAAGAAGGGTGCATAAACTCATATTGATATGGAAAAGGAAAGTGAAGAACATACTCCATAACGCATAATGCAAGTTTTAGAAGATGTGTGCTTTTAAATTTGACGATAAAAGTAGTCCATAAGAAAAATCCTAAGGTCTAACCAAAACGAAAAATAATATACATGTCATGAACTTCGATCGTGACGTTGAGGCTTGCATATAAACATCACGAAACAACTATGAGAGACAGAAGTTTATACTTCATTGGCTAACATCTTGTTTGGGGAAATATCTAATAATATTCCATTATTGTACTACAAGTTATGCTTGTTATTCTAATACTAATTAAGAATTTGATAACATAAAGTTTAAGAATCAAATCAAAGATTTATTAGCTTTCTAATATCACATTAAACTTCACTTTTTGGACGTAAAAGTAAAGATCAACTTAAACAGAAAAAAGAAGAAGCTAGTTAACATAAAGTTGGTTTATTCTTAATTTTACCCTTTTTTGTTTTAGCTAATCACACTACAGTAAAAAAGAAGAAGAAGATATTTAGTAGTAATAATTTTTTCTTTAACGATATTTATATAAAGTATTGGTTATAACTACTTTTATTATATTAATATTATTACTAAATATAATGTAGCAATAATTATATTATTGTTGTAAATAATTTCATACAAAATCCTTTGTTATTAATTGCTTAAAGCTACTACTTTTAAGATAACTAAATTGAGTACGTCCTTGTCTCAGTCTTCTTGGTTAAAAAAGAACTTTCAAAATAAATCCTAGTTAAAGGGTAATTATTATGGTTTTAAACTTTTAATTTGTTTGTCTAGTTTTAATTTAACACGAAACTTTAAAAACCTAAAATAAATAACTTGATTTTAAACTAAAGATACGTAGAACGTTCAACTTATCAAGAAAAATTGCAAAAAGATATTGAAATATGCCAACATTTTTTTATCGAGCTATTTTTTATTAAAAAGACAAATATATCACCGAACTTTCGTAAATGGTATCTAAATACCCTCCGTTAAACTTTTAGAACTCTGATGTCCCTACCATCTAATTTTGGAGCGTGTATACCCTTTGGACTAACGGAGAGACACGTGTCACGATCTTGACAACCTATCCAAAATTTATTTAATTTTTATTTGCAATTAAAAAAATTGACCCAGAGAATTAAAAACCCACCCAAATAATTTAAGACCCGCTCCGAAATTATAACCAAGTTATCAAGAGACGGAGAACTAATCCTAAAGTAAACTTCAAAGTTTTCTAACCATGTTAGCATTAAGTTCCTTGGAAATGGAAATTCATGCAGGAAAGCTCAAGTAATTCTTGAATCGCCAATCAAACTAGGAACCTTCGCTTTGGTACTAATATCAGTACTAAGACTTTCATTATTTTTTCCTGATATTGGCATGTCAACAACTGCAATTCTTGATTCTTGTTCAGTTTCTATTCAATTGACGCACATGATGTTCTTGTCTTGAAAAGTGCAGGAAGTGTTCCAGAAAGTCATTTCAGTATGTGATGTTTTCCCTAAGGCTGTTTAATGTATTGTTGATTTTCGATTTTCACAGATCTATTTTCTTGGCTTTCAGTCCTATAATCTTCATTTTTCAAAGTTTCAGTCATCTAAAAAAGTTTTTGAGTTTTGCGATTATAAATCCATTCAAAGGTCACTGATTCGATTTGTCGGAACTGTTGGAGTAGCAGTGAGGGAGAGATGGGTGAGTGGTGGTCAGGTTTCATGGTGGATGAAGGGTCGCTATCTCAGTGATTTCGCTAGAGCAAGGGAGGTTGGGTTCGATAGCAATTAGAGGTGGTTTTGTATGTGGAGCTTCGCCGAAGAAGATGGAGTTGCGGCAGTTGCTTGAACTAGAGAAGAAAGGAAATATGGAATTTATTTGGGTGGGTTTTTAATTATCTGAGTCCATTGTTTAATTGGAAATAAAAATTAAATAAATTTTTGATAGGTTGTTAAGATCGTGACACGTGTCCCTCCGTTAGTCCAAAGGGTATATACACTCCAAAAATTAGACGGTAGGGGCATCAGAGTTCTAAAAGTATAATGAAGGGTATTTAGATACCATTTACGAAAGTTCGGGGATATATTTGTCCTGTCTCCCTTTTTAAAATTATAGTATTTCTATTTTGCATATATACCATTTATACTAACAAACACATACACGTGTCATAATCTTATTCACCAACCCAATATTTATTAAATATCGGATCGACGGATAAGATTGCACCACGTGTCCCTATTTAGTCTTCCGTTAGAGTGAAGGGCATATATGCTCTAGTTTTTGGACGGTAGGGGCATCAATGTCTCAAAAGTATGTCAGAGGGTATCTGCATATCATTTACGAAAGAAGAAAAAAAAAAGAGTAGTTTCATTATTTTAATTTGTACGAAAATAAAGAGGTTTGGATGCAAAGTATAAAATATTTTTTAAAGAATGGAATAGAATGCAAATCACAAAAGAGGACATGTGTTAGGCGTACAAAATGCGCGCAACTTGACATTCAAAAATTAATTCATTTTTTATGACAAATTTTGCTAAGTGATTTATAAGAAAAAAGTCATATATTGAATGATTTGTCGATACAAAACTAAATTAAGTGACTGTTACATAATTTTCCATCATGATTTTTAAGAAATTTACTTTCAATTTAACTAAGTTTTGAAGCTAATTGAAATTTACTTAACTAAATATTTTAAAAATTAAAACTAAAATATTCAAAAACTATATAAAAAATATCATGAATTGTCATTCTTCTCGTACATATAAAAAAAAAAAAAAATTAAAATATTGATCAATAATTTAGGACAAAGAAAGTATAATTCTGTTGAATATTCCAACCAATTATTTTTTGGGGAAGGGAAGCTTGACAATCACAATTTCAAGTAGCTTTTTTTTTTTTTTTCTTCTTTTTAATTTTCCTTCTTCATATATTTAATATAATTTTTGCATATATTCCTTTCCATTAAATAAATGATTCATAACAACGAATAAAAAATTACGAGAGCCATGAGAGCAAAATGTGACGCAATATAAGTAGCTATTTACTTATATGTTAAGAAGTAAACAATATAATGTGAATAATTTTAAAAACTACCTATTATTATATTATTATAATATAAGTTTGAACTTAAATATGCAAACATTGGAAAGAACTTTTATAAGTTATATGAACTATAATTTTGCAATGTAAGTTAGGTAATTGTATTTTTTTTTTTTAAATAATTCTTTTATTAATATATACTTAGTTAAGATTTAATTTGTTTTTTATTACTCACTATGTCCCAAATTATATAATGTCGTTTAAATTTCGAAAGTTAATTTTTTAATTTTAATTACTAATTCAGATATAAAATCTTTAAATTTTTTGAAATAAAATTTATATATATGAAAACGGCTTGCAAGATACTATAAGTCACAATCATTTATAATTTAAATATTTAAAATACATAATCATGATTAAAAATACATATGTCTAACTTTCCAAATTTGAAAAGTGTTACAAAAATTAGGAGGAAGAAAATACTTTTTGCCTTTAAGAAACAATAAAACTAATAATTTTATCACGAATGTTATTTATAAAATAAAAAAATAATTCAAAGAGAGATATATATTGAGGAATTTTTCAAAAAAGTTGGTTATTCTTTTCAATAAAACATAAAGATAGTTGCAAAGCAATATGTGAAAAATTCCAGACATGATGACTGGATATTGTTATTACAAGAATCTCATACTTTGTTGGTGGTGTCTGTGGGGAATTATGGAACTTTTAATTTGAGAATTTTATAAGACTATTTTATAAATAATTGTTAGATTGATTAACTTTTATGTTGGAACTTTTAATTTGTCTGTTATACGAATGTTTTCAGTATGGAGTTGTTTTTATTAGTGAACGTATGCTTTTATATTTTAATATGTAATTTTTCCGTATGAATTCATATTGGTTGAATCTCTTTGTTAGTACTAAATACTATGTAAAAACTGTATCTGACTTTTAAGGTGTAGGAAAATCAATTCTCACCGCTATCATTATAATAGAATTTCCACCTATTTTGGAAATGACTGTTTCTTTTTTAGTGAAATAAACTCAAAGTTTATCTGGTACATGTTGTTGATGGAAGGTGACATGTATTCCATATAATTAATTGTGGTGCGCGAAAGTTGACCCCAGACACCACGATCATAAAATATAAAAAAAAACTCAAAGTTTATACTACTAAAAATAAAATAAAAATTACCTGTTTAATTACTGATGTCCAGTAAAATAAATTAAGTAATTACTGATGTGGTATGACACCACGTCAGACAAAGATTCAATATTTTCCGACGTGGCATAAGAGCCCACTCCAAAATATTCCCTCAAATTTATAGCAATATAATTTTTAGTAATTTATCTTAGATCATAAATTGTATTATTTATTTTTAAATTATGTGTCCCTATCATGTTCAATCTTTTCTTTTATCTTGAGAAATACGATTGGGGAGCTAATTCAAATTTCTTTGATAAAATTCATATAACTAATATCTACATTATTAATATATATATTACTAACAGTGGCGGATCCAGGATTTACAGTCCGTGGGTGTCAAATAGACTTATCGATTAAATTAATTTTATATTTGATTAAATTATCCGTCTTTTCGATATAAATTAATTTTAGTTCTCTAATTTTTCTTAAAAGAACGTGTGCAGCAATTTCCTTTTTCTTAAAAAACGTCTTTCTCAAAAATATAGGTACAAATGGGATTCGAACCCGCAACATCAGCCTTCTAAAGTTGCCCTCCTACAGTGGCACCACAAGCCAATTTTGTTCTGTGGGTGGCACGCTTTATATAAATATAAATATTATATATATATATACCTATGTATATATAGAGTTTCCGTCGAAGTTCGGGGGTGGCGTGGCACCCCCACACCCCTTAATAGATCCGCCCCTGATTACTAATATTTGCATAATTCTAATCGATCCCTCAATGTCCAGTAACAATTATAAAATAACTAAAAACCACCCCAAATCTCTCTCACACACTCTCTTTCTCTCACCTCTTTGCTATTCTTGATCAAGAATCACAATTGCTCTGTAGTTCCACTCATCTTTGGTTCAACAAATTTAGGTAAACAAATGAATCTTTTCTTTGTTCTACGTAATTGATTTTTGTGATTTATTTTATATTTTTTTCTAGAAAAATTGATTCTTTTTAATTGCTTTTTTTTTTCGTTATTGAATGTGTAGGTAGTTACAATAATGACTAAACAGAATTTGTCTAATGCTAAATCATGTGTCAACCCCACCATGTTCATGGTGGAGAAGCCACCTCCATCACCACCGCCGCCACGGGGAAGTTACATCAATAATATTTCAAGAAAAACACTTGTCAAAATAAATGGTGATCCAAGAATAATGACATCTTGGGTTGATTCAATGAGAGCCTCTTCTCCTACTCATCACATGTCCACAAATCTCTACGAAGACAAGACTTCTTGGATGGTGAAGAATCATATTATCTATCGTTATCGTGATTTCTGAAAATAATTTTCAAATTATTCATCATTTTATAAGTTCAAAACAATCTGTCCTATTTTACCCTTAGTATCACAATTATGAGGTGATGTTATGAGTTAAAAGGAATGTCTCTTCTAATTAATATTTCTAAGGGCATGTAAAAGAAAAAGTTGGCAGATAATTTAAGACGGAGGGAGTTATATGTTCAAAACACATTAATAGCGTGTAAATTAGAGACGAAGCTAGAGTTTAATTTAGCTTGAGTTTGGCAGAATTATTCAGTTATTCACAGAATATTTATAAATAATTCACCCATAATTCAGTAAGTTATCATTTCTAAAATTTAAAACCTGTAAACTCAAAATTTTGTATTTGTCACTCTGATAAATAAAAAACTAATTATGGCATTTTAAATCCTCAAAGAAAATTATGACTACTACATGTATTTTTATATTATTATTATTTTACATTATGTTGTTTTATTGCCCAATGATGTAATAGATGTGGACATTTTGAGATCATCAAGATTAAAAAAAGAAATTAAATTATTTTGTGTTAAAAATGAAACAGGTGCATCATCCATCAGCAGTTGACATGTTTGAAGATATAATAAGTGTTTCTAAAGGGAAGAAAATTGTAATGTTTTTAGACTATGATGGTACCCTTTCTCCCATTGTTGATGACCCTGATCAAGCTTTCATGTCTGATGATGTAAGTATGTTTAATATTTTTCCAAAATTGACTTGTCGAAAATATTTTTGATAAATTTTTTCCGTTGAAAATTCCTTAATAACGAGTCAATTCCCAATGGGACGATATCCATCGAAAATTAGGAGTGCTAGCTCCTTGTGTTTTAACTGACTTGATTGTGTAAATATTATTTTCAGTATATGAGAAAGTGTGTGATATCTTATCTGCAAGTTTAAATAGTTAGAAAGAATATATCTTAATTTACTTAATTATGTATTTCAACACGATTTTTCATATGCCAGTCTTTTTCTTTTTTACCATAACCTAAGCATATTAAATTCCTTTATTTGATAATGGATAGCGATAAGACTCGAACTTATGCCTTTTTTCTGTTATGATATCGATCATTTTAAAGTGTGTGAATCAGATGCGTATCCAGGAATTCGTCAAGATGGGTGCACGAATACGAAAAAATGCATCTTAAATATAAATTTGATAAGTTTGACTTTTAGGTTCTTAATATGAACCATTAAATTTTAAAAATTATAGGTCCAAAATATATAATACTATTAGTTTTAAATTTTAATATACACATTTGATTTAATTATATAAAAATCATATAGTGCAAAGTTTTTTAGGAACTTCCAATGTAAGGCACTTGAAAATTTTGAAAGATTAAAGGAAAAAAAACAAAAGAAAAATTAGTTGAAACGTCAAAAGTATAATTGATAACCACTTGGGGAGGTGTTACTCAAAAGGACAAGATAGATATAAGACTTAAATTTTTATCCTTACTTAGAGAGGTGCACTCAATCATTATTGTATTATTATATGATACTTTAAACGTGGATTCACACATCTATATTTAAATATTTTTTAAAAATATAACACTATTATATATGATCTAGAGAAGGGAGCATGGGTTCACGTGAACCCACGGCACCCCCTCTAAATACGCCCCTGGTGTGAATGTGACCATTTTATTTAAAAATTTAAATCATTAGTGATCAAATTTTTATTTATTCAATTATATTTTCAACATAATGTGCACATGACATGCGACTTAAAATCTTCATTCTCTTCAAGTACTTTTATTACTACTACTAGAAATATAAGGAATTAGCGATATATAAAATTTCGTAGTTAAATAATAAAATTTCCGTGCTAATACGTTAAGCTATAGATTAGCGACGGATTATGTGAAAATCCAATAAACAAGAGCGATTTAATGATGAATTTACTAGAGATTATCAATAAATTCTATAGCTAATTTCATATTTTCTAACGGGTGTTTATTCCATTCTCAGATGAGAGGAACAGTGAGAAAACTTGCTAGATATTTCCCTACTGCTATAGTTAGTGGGAGATGCAGAGACAAGGTATACATTTTTTTATTTTTTTAGGGTTTATATAGTTGTTGTTTTTTTTATTATTATTTATTTATTTATATATTTTTGAGTTTTGAATAATTATAGGTATACAATTTTGTACAATTAGCAGAGCTGTACTATGCTGGAAGCCATGGGATGGATATAAAAGGACCATCAAAAGGTTCTAAAAATAGTAAGAAAGTGAGTAATCTTAATTACTTAATTTTTTTTTCTCACCGATTCAATCAAAATATCTATAAAAATAACAATAAAACATTTTTCAGTCGGAAATTTCAATGGAAAAATAGTAAGAGGATTGGTCACCATTCACATAAGCCTAATAAATTTTATCATGCTTACATACATAAATATTTGACAATAAATTTGCCTATATTATAACATTAAATTTAAATCGTTGTAAGAATTTATAAATTTCAAATTTTAATCTGACTATTGGTGTGTTCTTAATCAGCGGTAGCATGTTACCTATCTTATTTTTTTGGGTTTATAATTCTCTACACTATTACTTATTGTTATTTTTAGGTATATATCCTGATAGTATAAATTATTTTTTATACTATCAAAATTAATGTATAAAAATTAAACTCTACTTAATATATATTTTTTTTTTCATGTTTGAAATTCAGGGAACTCAAGCTGTTCTTTTCCAACCAGCAAGTAAATTTCTTCCAATGATTATTGAGGTCAATCTAGCTCCATCAAAGATTTAACGTTTGATCATATTTCATTGTAAAATTTGAAAAAATAGTAATTTACTTTAAAGTGAAAAATAATATTTTAAAATTAGGAGTTCAACTTCCGAAAAAAGTAAAAAAAGTCATGGTCAAACGTCTAGTGCTGAACCCCCCCCCCCCCAAAAAAAAAAAAAAAAAAAAAA